AGGCCTCGCCACCAGTGCTGGGGGGGTGGAGGGAGAAGGCTTGGAGGGGCGCGGGCCTCGCCGTGGGTGCCGGGGATGGGGGGGGGCAGGGGAGAAGGCTCACTTGCAGCTGCTTCCTTCTCCTCCCGTGGAGCTTCCCCCCCCCGCGAGTATCGCGGGTCCCCCTTCTTGTCATTCATATTTTTGAAAACTCCCTCCCACCAATGATGTATTTTATTTTTTTCCCTAGCTGTCTCTCTCACACACACGACTTAAAGCTCTTGTTCTGTCATAGTGTCTGGGCAGAACGTTCCATCTGCTGAAGATTTCTGAAGGGATTTTCAGAAAACTCTAGGAGTTCCTAAATAACCCCAAAAGTTTGTTTGCTTCCCTTGCTGAGGATAACAAAGACACAGGACAGCTGGATTCGTGGATTTTGATTTTTAATGGAAAAGACACTCCTGCCTGGGCATCCAGATACACACCAAAATCTGATCCTCTCTAGGTTACTTCCCAAGAAGTGGAGCTGGAATCCCTTTTCTTACAAACGGGTGTGACCTATAGACACCTCCCCCCATCTCTTTGTCTGTCTCTGACACGCTAGCAAAAAAGGTCCAGATGAAGGCATGACTTTTTAAAACTCCTTCCACAATTAAAGATTTCTACAAATAAAAACACAGTAGGAAACAAGAAAGAGATGATAATTTATACTGGGAGACATGGTTGTGTCGTCGTCATCAGAATTAGCACCAAAGGTTGCTGGGATGCATGAATCATGTTGCAGGGAGACCCATGGAGCGAGTGACATCTTCCCTTAGCACTTTCCAGAAGGGCAGCGTCCTGGGGTAAAAGAAAAGGGGGAAAGGATGGTGATTAGGAGCCAGGCATTGGTCTGCATCAGGGCTATTTTTGGGCAGGAACGCACAGGAACGGAGTTCCGGCTGGCTTCAGAGTTGGCCACGTCCACTACAGCCAAAACCTCTGCACATGCGTGGCTATAGAGGGAAGGCCTGGAGAGCGACCCTCCCTGGCAACTCCGAGGTGGGCGGGCCAGGGGGGCCCCTGGAAGGATCAGGGAAGCATTCTATCTAAGGGCTGGCTTGCTCATGCTCCCCACAGCCGTGGGACGCCCGGGCAAGCCAAGGGAAGGCAGTTTAAACTGCCTCCCCTCCAAGGGTCGGCTTTCCCGGGCTCCCTGCAGCTGCGGGGGCCCCGGGTAAGCCAAGGGAATGAATGGGGTGTGGCCTAATATGCTAATGAGTTGTGCTGTCAGGGGTGTGGCCTATTATGCTAATGAGTTCCTGCTGGGCTTTTTGTACAAAAAAAAGCCCTGGTCTGCATCATTTCTTCTAGCAGGCTGTTTAGATGCAGAGTGACTCCAGTCTGAGGCCACCGACTGCAATAGACTGAGGCACCGCAAAAGAGCTGGGAAAAGGTCCCTGCCAGTGGAAACAGTTTGTTACGTGCCCTGAAACAGCAACAGATGTGGGTTTTGCCCTCCTTGACTGCAAAGGCCTTCATTTGTCAGGATGGAGCCAAAGGCTTATGTATAATACACACCAAACATACACCAAATTTAAAGAGCTGTAGAACCAACACAGCTGTCACAGCTTCCCTCAAGAATCCTGGGAACTGCAGTTCTGTGAAGGTGCTCGGGCTTCTTTCCAAGGTCCTTAATCTCCTCACAGAACCACAATCCCCAAGGTTCCCTAGGGAGAGGCTACGGCGAGCCAATGAGCTGTGGTGGCTAGAGGATCAGACCAGGACCAGAGAGATCCAGGCCTAAATTCTCCACTCAGCCTTGAAGCGCTTGGAGAGACCTTGGGCCAGTGCCTCTCTCAAGCCCAACCTCACTGTGGGTCGCCATGAGAATAAAACGGGGGGGGGGGGGTCTTGGA